CCCAACATCTGCTCTGATGGCAATTATGGCTAAAAAAATTCAGGTACTCAGGCATGAAAATGTGCCGTTCGAACACTATACTTTTCCACACACACTGAAAAAAAATTAGAGGGAACATTGCTTGAGGCTCATGAATCAATTTGGGCATCTTTTGGAAACCTGACACCCAAGTTATCAGTTCACTTTAGTTCACTCCAGGTTTCTTGCCTATATGCTGCTACTGGTAGAAAAGCACAAAAATCTTCAAAAGTGGAAAAAAAGAGTTGTTAGAAAGTGAATGAATGCCTCCACCAATTTTTGGTATTGGTCCAACCCTTTAATCCAGGATCTCAGATAAGTACATGATGCTCCCCCTCATAGAAGATGGATTTCTAGGAAGAAGAAAGAAAGAACAGCAGCCAGGATCGTATATGCACAATACTGGAAAAATGGAGAAATGCCCACAGATGATAATATGATTAAAAAAAATGCTGGAATGTGCAGAAATGGATAGGTTAACTCTAAAAATCAAAGAAAAAGAAGATTCAGAATATTTTATAACATGGGAATTTTCTACAAATGGTTAGTTGACAAATACAGAGGTTAGATGAGTGGATGTATGTGAAATATGGACTATATAAGAAAGAAAAATTGATTAGTAAATATTTTGATGGTTATATAATTGATATCATAATGAAAGATAGTATACTTTTCAATAACGATTGCTATTATCACATATATGTTTATATGATTAGAATGACTATGATGATGTTTTAAAGTATTTTAAATACTTTGGACACCTAGAAAACACACTGTTCAATATAGAAATTGAATTTGTGATATAAAAAGAATGGTTGAACAGTATACAATATGATGTATATGCTGCTGATGTTGGTTTATTTAATAGTCTATGGTAAATGATGGCTTAGTATGATATATGAACAGGTCAGTTTTGAACAGCAGCTTTTTCAACATCAATTAGATCAAAAGTACACCATTTTTCCTTCCTGGGACCATACTTGATCTGTAAAAGATATGACCAATGATGCCAGGGCATCATCAGTATATCACTCAATTGGAAATATACTCCTGTAATGTTGGATTTTGGCCGGAGTGTGTCATACTATGCCTGTTTAGCAGGGATCCATGAGTTCATAATTCACAGTATAGCATTGAACTTTTAAGTTCGCTAAGCTTAACTCCTCATTACACTATGTAAGGAATATTAATGAGATAGTAACAATCCCTAGTGCCATGTGCGCTCCCATTACTTGTCCCAGCTTCTTCCAACCTACCAGTTCAAAAGCATGTAAAAAATGCAAGTAGAAAAATAGGAACCACCTTTGGTGGGAAGATAATAGCGTTCCATGCGTCTTTGGCATTTAGTCATGCTGCCCACATGACCACGGAGACATCTTCGGACAGTGCTTGCTCTTCGGCTTTGAAACAGAGATGAGCATCGCCCCCTAGAGTTGGGAACGATTGGCACATATGTGTGAGGAGAACCTTTATTGTTTAACAATAAGAGATATAGTAATAAATAAATCCCTTGGGCTGGGATATTACTGCCTTATGTACTCAGTGAAGAGTTGTGTAATAAAAATTAAACAAATAAGTAGAACACCTACACATTATACTTAATGTACTCTTTTTGAACACATGAGTTGCTTTGTTTGTTTCTATTGATTGTGACTTGCTAATGGTCTGATGACTGGCACAGCATAGGCTAACTAAATAAACATATAGTCATGGAACCTTAATCACGATTGACTTGGACTCTTATTCAACCATTATGGGTCACAACATTCTCCTCCAGGCATTAGATCCTGTCTTCCTAGTGGATTTGTTTAGCTTCCACTGGAATGAATTTTATGAATCACTTGAGAAACAAACCCATCTCCTTCTGCAGCTATTTGTTATCAGCTCCTTGCCTTAACTACTTCCATTTGTAATTTAAACACCCTAATTTAATAGGTTTGTCTCATTATTTTGATTAATCATATTAACTCATACTAATTAAGAGATGGATTTAGGTAATGACAGAGGTTAATGGGATCAATTTTCACTTTCCCCAGTTTTTTGGGGCATGGGGTAGAGGAACATGAAGGAGAAAGCAAAAGAATGGAAAAATGAAAAGAGCAGGTAAAAATCAAAGTAAGCAATCAGAAATTCTCTGTTAATTGAATGTCTGATTTTATTAATGATGAAATTTATAAAGGTCTTTGAGAAAAGAAAAGAATTTAGCCAATTCAGCAGTTAAGTGTGAAAATTAACTAACTCAGAGATAAAAGTTAAAGTATCCATTTCCCCCCTTTTTCTGTTAAAAGAAAACTTACTGTGCTGCCCATTGTACGTCTATTCAGAAAGAGGTCCTATTGTATCCAATGATGCCTGCTTTCTAGAGGTTAAGGATTTCTGACCAATTTGACATTTTACTACATAATTCTTTGGCTGCCTTGAGTTGCACACCTTATTTAGTAAAGGAATGTTATATATCCTTTAATGATCATAAGACCTTAAGAATGGAGAAGGAAATAAATGAATGAGTTTATATACAATAGGAAATAGTTTCTGTTCATTTTTTTCTTTCTGATTTCTATCTCAATAGAATTCTTACTGAATCTTTGATAGAAGGGTATGGAATAATCATACTAATTATTTAGTTTGGGACAGTGGTGAAATGCAATTTTTTTTACTACTGGTTCTGTGGGCGTGGCTTGGTGGGTGTGGTGTGGCTTGGTGGGCGTGGTAGGGGAAGGATACTGCAAAATCTCNCCTCCCTCCCTCCCTCCCTCCTTCCTTCCTTCCTTCCTTCCTTCCTTCCTTCCTTCCTTCCTTCCTTCCTTCCCAAATGTTTGTATTTCCTATCCATCAAGGTGGGAGCAAATGTAGACCAGTATCATATGTGTAAATCATACCGACTTACAGTATGATAGCAATAACTTCAAATGTTTAACAATGGCAGTATTAATGTGACTAGCCCTTGCACATTAAATTATGCTGGCAAATTAAGAATTCCAAGAAGTTCAAGATGCTTTTTCTTTTGTAGCAGAAGTGAGATTATTCAGACGTGGTATTTAAAACTGATTTCAAATTTCAGTATTATAGTTGTTTAATAAAAACAAAGTAGCTTCTGCAAAACAGAAATTTACTTAACTCTTTTGTATGTTTCTCATAATTTATCAACAAGATTGTCTCTGCTTTTAGCTTATATAGCTGTTAGATTTATATGTCTGCTGTCACCTACCAACCCTTCCCACTTATGGAAGTATCTCACACCTGTCCTAAGATTTATCATGTTTTTTAACTTGACGTAGATGTGAGACAAGGCAAGGCAGAACTGGACCTATTCCTGTAGGCTGAAGCAGTCAACCGGGAACTCCCAGTTTGAGATGCTAAAGTTTGTAGTATCAAATACTCGGGGGACGGAATTGGGTAAATGAATAGGGTTTTGTAGATTTATACATTAGGATCCATTAGCTCACTTGTTAATCTCAAACTGCCAAGTTGGAATATATGGCACAATGGTGAATAACCTGGCAAGCCAGATCAAGAAAGTGCAGCGTTGATAGCATATCTGCTTGTTTGCCTTTTTCCATGCAGGAGCAGTTTAATTCCCAATGGATAAATAGGAACCAAAGAAGTCCCCATAGGAGCAGAGACAAACTAGGAAAGCTACAATGGACATTCAGTAGCATTCAGGCATGGTTTTTATCTGCTCTGGCCTGATGTAGTTAAGCTCTGATTAAGGACCTAAGCAGCTAAAAAAAATGCATCATAAGCAAAGCCAAATTAGGTATTAAATATTTGGAGGCATTTCCAAGCTTCCTGCTATAATAAATATAAAAAGCTGCTGGTTAATTTTCTGGGTCAGAATTTCCAAGACTCTCATCGTTTCCCTTTTTGTTTTTTTTGCGGCAAAGTTAGTTTTCGTTTTATTTGTTGGAAGTACATAAAATATATTCAAATAACATGTTTGGATTACCATTTAAAGCAGGCAGCGAGCCTTTGCTGTAAAATGGTTTGGATAAGTACTTAGTGGAGCAATAGTGGCACCCAGTGTCTGTGTGGTCTCATCACAGACGCTGTGTGAGAAGCAGCTTTCTTGACGTTCCAGGTTTCCTCCCCACCCCCACCCCTTTTATTTGTTTTCAGAGTGAGTCTTAACCTCGGTCTACAGCAGAGTGGATGGGCTTAGAATGTTAATTTTGAATCTGCTTTCTCCCTCTGGGAGCTGCTCCCTGTGTAACTCCCTTTCTCGATGTGTGGTAGTCAAAAGTGCAACACATGTGAATGGCATCTGATTGAAGAAGGGTGATGTAACCGTTCCTCATGTTCATCTTTCAGGTGAGCGGCTTATTCCGGATCCTCATGCTTTTTTTCATCTCCCTCTGCATTGTCCTCCCGCTGAGTCTCCAGAGAAACATGATGGCTTCCATACAGTCCTTCAGTGCAATGGCTCTGATTTTCTATACGGTGTTTATGTTTGTGGTCAGTATTAATGATGGGAAGCTTTTGTTTTCTTCAATCGGGCAGTTAATTCCTTTGAGGGAAACCACAATGCATCCTTAAATTCCAGGGTACCCAAACTCTTCATGTGGGTGGGCTCTCCGAGGACCTTTAAACAGGAGGCCTGGTCTGCTTGTTGGCAACAACACATACTTTTAGGGTTTAGTTTGAAAAAACTTTCTCGATTATTGGCACTACCTAGTAAGGGAAGACCATTAGCAGTAACAGGGATGCTATTTGCTCTTCTGTGCAAACCACAGGCCCAGGAATGTGTCTCCCATATGCTGCTCAAAGTTATACATTCTTCCAGGGAGATCCTGCCATGTCTCTTCTTCCAGCAAGTCAGCATTTTTATAGTAGTGTATACAATAGGAACTTAGGCCACACAGATTGTCAGAGAAACCCCTTAATGCCTCCTTCACTTTCTGTTCTACAGTGTTTAATCAAATGCTTCTTTCAAAGCTTTCTCATTGAGAATTTGCCAGAGTGACCGCTAACAAATTCGCCTGCAGTAAGACTCCGTCCCCAGTTTCTTTTAACTTCTCACCTCACTGTTGTTCCTAGGTATTCCTTGCTTTATCGTATCTCTCCGGCCATTTTCATCTTGGGATACCATTTATTTATTTACTTATTTATTTTATTTATGAACATTTTAAATGGCCTCAGGCTTAAAGACTTAAAAAGACTTTAAAAGACTTACAAGACTCTTTTAAGTGGTAGGCAAAAAGTGACAGCTGAGCCTCAGCACAAGAATAAACACATACGATTAGGGGTGTCAAACTCAAGGCCTGGGGGTCGGATCCAGCCCACAGGGTGCTTACATCTGGCCCATGGGGCTGGCCTGGAAATAACGAAGGATTGGCCTGCAGTGCCTCTGCCAGTGAAAATGGAACTCAGGAGGGCCGCTCTGTTTTTGCTGGCAGAGGGTTGTAGGAGGCTGTCGCAGCTGAAAATGGAGCTCAGGAGTTCATTTTCTCTGGCAGAGCACTAAGGCCACCACAGGCACACACCCCCGACACAAATGATGTCAAGCTGGACACACCCATCCTGGCCACGTTCCCTGTGGTCCCCCCCCCCGAGGTCAAACAATCCTGATGTGGCCCTCAATGAAATCAAATTTGACACCCCTGTATCAATGGTGGGTTGCTATTTGTTTTACTACTGGTTTGCTTGTGCACATGCGTGCTCGATCGCGCAACTGTGAGTGGGTGGGCGGAGCCTCCCGCTGCCACCACTACCGGTTTGCCCGATCTGGGCTGAACCAGCAGCAATGCCCTGCATACAGTAGACTATAACCTTACCCAAGTTGTGTTTGATCATATAAAATGATTATACATGTACACATACAGCACCAATTGTTTTCATCAATTAGAACTCATGGGCCTTTTTAGAAATGTCCTGAAGGCTCTCAGAGTGGCTCACTGTTCACAGGAGGGAAACGGGGCCAGGGAATGCCAGTTGTGGGTTTTCCTCTTCCCCATACTTGCTGATAGGTGGGGACCTTTGGTCGGCATTCCCTGAGCCACATAATAGCCATCTTCATTGTCTCCCTATTGTAAATACTTGTGCAGCTGGCACATCAGCCAAGCTGGTACGGGATATAGAGCCATATTTCTTAAACTACAGTTTATAAGCAGAAGCATCCTTAACAAGTTACAGTAACACCAAAATAATGACCCAGGTATCATGATATTGGTATCCAACTGAATCAGTTCTGTACTAGAGGCTGACATCTTATACAGGTAGGTTAGTCACATTATGTGTGCCATGACATGCATATTGTCATTTCCATTACCACAACCATCACCCACCATGTAATGATCTTGGATTACCTCGATAGTAAGCCAAATAAAAAAAAAATGGTGCCTTGTACAAAGCTCATAACAAAACACATTTTTTTTCTGTACAAACTGTGTTTTCTCCTCCCCCCCCCAAAAAAAGTTGCTCAGTTGGGTATTAAACAGTTATATAATTCCCTTCCCCCCCCTCCAAAAAAAGGAATACTGGTTCCTCCCACCAGGCAGCTTGTGGTAAGATGGGGATGGGAGGCCAGGGAAGGAAGAAAGATAAGGAAAGGAGGGAGGAAGAGACCAACATAAAAAAACAATTTTCCATTCAATAGTTGCATTTGGAGTTAGCAGTTCAAATTAGGGCATATACTATAACAGCCTTGCCGGAAGTAGCAGATTTAAAAGAGAGGAGGAGAAGGAGGTGGCAGGTATCTAGAGGAAGAGCAATGTGCAGTACAGTTCCTTCATTGCAACAACTGGTGCTGGGGGCTTAGGACACATAGTGTATTTGGAAGGCTGTGGGCTGCTAAAGTTGGGAGAACTCATTATTACAAAAAGCTAGAATACAGAAAGCCCCCTGAAAAAGGGTGGTGGGTTAGGAGATGGATAAAGATGTTGAAAGGACTTATTGCTAGAAATGGAAGGGATTGAATGCCAATGAAGGGATTTGCATATATCAAGCATCCAGTGGAGAACATTCAGTTGAAGGTTAAGCAATTTTTGCACCACCACCCCTTCCTTGTGATGCAGTTTGCTGTAATTTACTCAGGACCCAGAAACCCCAAATTTCCCACACATCTCGTGCACTGGGGATGCAGACCCAGGAAATTTGGCTTGGTGAAATCTCTGCCTGTGAGCTTCTACTGCCCCTTTGCTGTTTCTCAGTTGCTGATAAAGCTGAGGCAACCTGGGTTGTCAGTTACTGGGTTGGTATGGTGTCTCTGTTGTCTAGACTGTAACCTCTCTTTTCTTTTCCTTGGCTGCAGATCGTGCTCTCTGCTTTCAAACATGGCCTCTTTGATGGGCAGTGGCTGCAGCGGGTCAGCTATGCACGCTGGGAGGGCATTTTTCGCTGCATTCCTATCTTTGGCATGTCGTTTGCCTGTCAGTCGTAAGTATCAGCAATTCTGGCTGCTTGGAGATTGTGGGGTGGAATGAGTTTTGTTAAGGGCAAAGGGTCAGGATGGCCTGTATGGGATAGATACCATCTGGTCCCCTTGTCTTGATTTTAATCAAAATATTTTACAGCCCACTGAGGTATAGCATCTGAATGGGTTGTGACCCTTTTGTTACCTAGCTGAGAGAGGGAGTTATATTTCACTCTGGACTCATTGTACTTAAAAAGCTTCTTGTTCATAGGGGGCAGATACATCTCCAGTGTAATTTTCCATTGGCTTTTATGTCTGGTACTTGGGACAGTACCGAGCCCTGTTCTTGAGATGTAAGAAGAACTTAAGCCGAGGTAGTTACCGTGTTTCCCTGAAAATAAGACAGGGTCTTATTTTTTTTGACCCTGAAATAAGCGCTTGGCCTTAATTTCGGGGAGGTCTTGTTATTTTTTAGGTGCAGAAGGTGGCGAGCATGGTTACCTCATGGCTGCTACTGTGTTGCAATATTTTCGGGGAGGGCTTATTTTAGTGCATGCACCCAAAAGCCCGATTGGGCTTATGATCCGGGGAAGTCTTATTTTCTGGGAAACAGGGTACTACCATAGTGGGCTTCCAATGTTGGCTTAAAATGATTTTTGTGAACATCTTTGTTAAGCAACATAATGTTTTCACAGAGAATATTTAAGGAAAAGGCAACTGTTCTTAAGTCAGTTTGACCTTCTGGATTGCAAAATCCAATTTACCCTTATAGATGTAGGACAGGGGTTGGCTCCAGGCTTTCTTTCTGGGCGTTGCACAATGCAAAGCCTATTCCAGAATTGGGTTCAAGTCTTTCAGTTCTCATTTAACACATACACACACACCATACACAAACACACAATTTTTAAAACTTTCCCATTTCCGACTAGAGGGGTAGAAATTTCTTTTCATGTCTTGCTGCCAGCTTCCCATTCAGAAACCCCAACATTAGAAATGATATTTTTGCACCTATTGCTTTCTCCTTTTCTGTTCTTCACCGTCCCCTCCTTCCATTTTCTGATTCTGCCATTCTTCTCCCTCCCCCGCAATCCCTCAGAGTCTGTCAATAAAAAAGAAATAATGGAAATCCATGCTGCATGCTGGCATAGTTTATTTTGGATGAAGAACTTAAAATATTTTTTTATTCTTTTTTGGGTAAAACGCATGCCTGCCCTTAGTTGTCATACTCGTTCTTGTGGCAGATGTAAGCTTTCATCCATAGATAATTCCCATTTCCATTCTAGTAGCAATACTTCTACCACCCTTTTATTTGTGGCTGGACTGAAAAGTGGCCCAATGAAACCGTAGAAGTGTGTGTGAGAGTGTGTTCAGCTGAGGACCCAAAATGGACCGTTAGCATTAGCTTTGATACAGCTGGGCTCTCCTTCTCCCCCTCTGCCCACTCCCCCAATTATGCTTCTCAGATTTAATGTGCTTCACTCAGTTTTAAGTGTCTCTGCTATAATTGGTGACAGAAGGGTTGATTCATTCTTTTATAGCTACCTAGTTACCACAGCGGGGGTTTATAAAATCCAAATTTGTCCTTTTTCTTGTGGTGGCCGTTCAGCAACCAACCTTCATTTGGTGGGAGTTGAAAACACGGGAAAATTATATGTTCTGAACTAGTGTATTCACATATCTCTCTAAATATAGATTACTATACCACTGGTGGGGCAAGCCAAACTGAAAGTTAAATCCTATCAATTTTCCCAAGGGCAAGAATAACACACGTTTCTTGGCCTGTGTGACGTCACGTATGGATGGGTCCCGGGGTTGTCAGGCTTGTAATAACTGACCTTTCAGTCGATTTGCTCCCCAAACTTTTAAGAAGTGTTAGATAGAAGCAAAGAAGTAACATGCATTATTGATTGGCCACTTGCTATGGCTTCTGAATGCACAAGTATGCTTTGCTCGTAGAGTTGGCTGTCTCTGGCAATAAGGTTTGTTGTCATTGCCAAATTCAAAGAGAAATGCCTCTGCGCCCCCCCGCCCCTTGTGTGTGCAGCATATGGTTTAACAGACTGCACATGAGGCTGGAAGCCAGGAAGCCTAGAAATGTAACATTAGCTCTGCTGCAGCCTTCCTGTACGACCTCAGGATAGTGTCCCTGTCGTTAACTCTTTTGTAATACGAGCTATACTGGTGCAAGCTTTGGATCAGACAGTTCAGTCAGCGTTATAGATATGAACCAACTGGAGTGATGGGCATCGTTCGTAGTTTGGTGTCGTTGCTGGTTCAATATGAATGACATTTTGAAGAACTGGGAATGAAGACTCTGTTTATGCTCTGCCTCCCTTCTACATGTAGCTACCCACATTTATGACTGTTTGGCCCAATTCCTCCGTTAATCAAGGATCTTTAAAACAGTAGTAGAAGTGCATTTCAATTTGCTTTCTAAATCTATTTTTCTGTCATTACATATATGTTCTTTTACTTAACATACAGTGAATGTAGAAATTGAGAGAGAGAGAAAAATAGAGATACAGAGCAATAGCGTAGTAGATGTGATGTAGACATAAAAAAAATGGAAAGAACAACATTTGGTAGAGAAAATTTTTGCCATATGCATCATTTGGAAAAGGGGGGGGAAGAGCAGTTTTTATTAAGATTTACAAAAAAATCAATTCCTCACATCTTCTTTCATAGCATAGTAGCTACACTGAAGAGTCATTGGCTGGTGGACAACCTTAGATATTGTGGTACATAAATATACGTACTTCTCTCAGGGAATTACAAGGGACACATTCCTCTTTACAATTGAATTGTAATGTTGGAGGAGTAAGTCTATGTTAGATGAAGCTACCTAACCCTGATCAAATATTCTGACTGTTTTTGTCCTGAGACTTCTGCATTTTGCCGAATTAGGACTTTTCTCTGAGCAGCATTCTCTCCTGCTATAAAAATCTAAAAAAAACTCTGCAATTTTATCTTTTCAAAGTTCCACAGGCAATGGATGTTTATGTTTAACGAAATGGAAACGTCATCACACACACACCCAAAACTCCCCCCCCCCTTCACCAAGAACTATTTCAGGCTTTGAAGCTGCTTGCTTGTGCTGTTTTTCTCCTTGTGCTCATCTTGGAAATAGAGAGATACATGTAAAGGCATTTGGACTAAATACTCTTCTTCAGTTCACCCCGAGGGCAGTGTTCTGTGATTACAAGTGTGGCGAAGAATCCCTGTAGCATAAGGAAATGTTTATCAGACAAAGGTGTCTGCTCCCAGATACCTTGATCTTGACCTGGCCTTCCGGGTGGACATTTCAGCTTAAAAATAAAATCTCTGCACAGCAAGATACACTGCTTGTTATGCATCTTGGAGTCTTGATTGGCAGAGAAGGTTTGACTTGCACATCTGATGGGTTTGAGAGTCTCTTTTACTTCTGTGCCTGGAAAGCCAAAATGTCTTGGGGCTTATTTATACAAAGCAGGGGTGGTGAGGGACTTCTGATCTTCTGTCTCTTTGAACTACCATCTTTTTAAAAACTCAAGAGTTTCCTTGTTAGATCAGACCAAAAGCTCTTCTAATCCAGCCGCCTGCCTCCCAACAGTATCCAGGCAAATGCCATGGGGAAGTTCACAAGGAGAATATGGTGGCAACAATAATTTTATGATTGGTTCTTTGGGATTAGGCAGTCAGAAGTCTTTTGCCAGTGTTTTGAGGAAAGTTTTTACTTTCATCTTTTACTGCATCCCCAGAATTTCATACTACTTGTCCAGCCTCAGAATGAATGAACAAGTCGGATCAAGGAGATTCATGAACATTCATGTTTTTTTTTTAAAAAAAAGCGAGGTAGACACTAAAGAGCTCAAGAAGAGGCACTCATTCTCCCAGTTCCCCCTTTCTCTGAAATGGTTCTCCTTAATAAATTCTGCATCCGTCATAAGGGTGGGGATGGTTTTAATCAAGAAAATGCAGGAATTAAAAACCAACTTCTTAATCAGGGGACAATGCTTGCTATTAACATGTTTAAAATGCAAAATATCTGATTTGGTTCATAGGCTTAAAAAGGGAAATTTTCATTAACACCTTCCCCACGTGCAAAGCTGCTTGGGTACAGGCTGTGTTCCAGGATTAGTGTGTTGTTTGCTCCATAATTTTGGGCTTGCTGCAGAAAGATACAAGGTGTTGTCCTTTTTATTTTTCCTGAAGTCCTAATAGGATTGTCAAGAGCAACCCAAGTAGATTGATTTTATTTATAGACACCCCCCATTTATGTACAAATATAATTCAAGGTGGCATTTTGGACCCAAATTGTTGTGGGCAATATGTTGACTATGTAAACTGCTTAGAGAGGGCTGTAAAGCACTGTGTAGCGGTATATAAGTCTTAAGTGCTATTGCTGTTGCTATCGGAGCCCATATCCAAACATACCTTCCTCCTCCTATTTTCTCCTCAACAACAAACCTGTGAGGTGAGCTGGGCTGAGAGAGAATGACCAGCCCAAGGTCACCCAGCTTTGCCTTTTGGGGGGCTAAAGGGGGCTTGAACTCACAGATCCCCACTTTCTTGCCTGGTGTTTTAACCACTAGCCTAAACTGGCTCAAGGTTCATACAGCCTTGCCTTCATAGGGGAATGCGTAGAAAGAGAGGTCTGTCGGATTTTAAATATTCCCCACCCCAGTTCATAATTCTGATCTGGGGTAGTTTTAGAGGTGGGAATAAGAGTGGGTTGTGTTTCACAGGCTCCCGTTTCCACTCCCACATCTAAAATCCTCTTTTAAATAAAACCTGGAACGTATTTAGTTTTTTTTTTGTGGGGGGGATTTGAAGTTTTACGAGTTGGTCTGGGAGTAGTTTGCTTCTGGGAAACTTCCCCTCCCATTGCTATCCTTAACCTTCCCACAAAGCCAAAAATGGCCAAAACAATTTTAGCCACACCCCTTCCAGGGATGATACTTAGACATTACTGGATATATATTTTCTTGGTTTTGTTTGTGTGTGTGGTGNGGCATGAAAATGTGCGGCTCGAACACTATACTTTTCCGCACACACGGGGAAAAAATTAGAGGGAACATTGACCCTAGCTAGTATAGGGAGAGGCCAGGTGGAGGGCCGGGAGGTCCCTGGTCTTTCTTGTATCTTTACAGGTGCGGTCCGTTGACATTGAGGAAACTGGGAGCCAATGGGAAAGGAGGAATATTAAAGAAATTTCCCTCAGTCTATGGACCAATCAGGCTGTGACAATACCCAAGTGTAACCCCTCCCTCTATTCTACTGAAAAGACACGTTCAGTTAAGACAAACGTTCTTTTCATTGCAGAAAAATAGTATCTTGATGTCTGAATGAAGAAGGAAGGAGGGAGGGAGGGAAAGGGAGGGAGGAAAGAAAGGAGAGAGGGAAGGAGAGAAGAAAGGAAGGAAGGAGGGAGGGCTACTCAATTTGCTTATTACTCTGAAAGTATATAATATAGCCCAAAGAAGTTAAACAGAAATAGAAAGATAAAACAAAGATACATTAAAAATAGCATTACTTTGGTGGCTAGGGAAATTTTTAAAAATGTTTCTCTGTACCAAAGGTGCTTTTTCAAGAGGCAACTGGTCTTTCTGCTTTTTCAATGAAGACGTTTCGCTTCTCATGCAAAAAGCTTTTTCAGTTCTTGGAATAGAAGCGAAATGTCTTCAAAGAAAAAGCAGAAAGTCCAGTTGCCTCTTGAAAAAGCACCTTTGGGACAACCATGACCTGGATGACTGAGAATCTCCATAGGCTGTACAACATCCAGCAGCCATTAGTAAATATAGTTTTCCTGGAGTCCTGTCATGTGTCTGTGGCTAGTTGCTTCCCTTGAGATACATGTTCCTTAGATCCTGTGATATTGAAAGCTTGTGTGATTCACATGAGTATGAACCTGCCCATGCTTTCCAATACATTTCTCTCCACTTTGCAAGAGCCTGTTGTGCCCCACCACCGGCCAGCGGATCTGGCAGCAGTGTCCGACAGTGAGGAGGTTGAGGAGGAACATGGGCCAGTCCTGGGAGTTGAGGAAAGCTCAGACGAGGGCTCTACATCAAGAACAGCTGGAGCCTGTTGCCATTGTGCGCATGCGCAGAGCTGCCAGAAGACAAGAACAACTAAGATTTAGGAGTAAAGCCACACCTTGGAGGTGATTGGCCCCTCCCATAGGAAACAAAAGAGGAACAAACGGGGAGTGGGCTTTTGCAGGAAACAATTTGTTCATTTGGTCGGTTCAAGAGTGAAAAGTTCTGTGTGTGACTTTAAGAGACTCTGTGCCAAGTTTGCCTTGCAAACGAGCATAAACATTCTTCTGAAAGACTGTTTACTAAGCCTTGCGGTCTGTGAATGAAAGGAATCCACAGTCGTGTAAATAAAAGGGGTTTTGCAGGGACCAAGACTTTGCTTCTTGCTTTCTAAGGAAACCTGGGTCAGAATAGAGTCCGCATGAAGAACAGTACCTTCGTATAGGGAGCTGGGGAGAGAATTACCCTTCAGCAAACCTAATTAATACTTCTTCTAAAACTGTCCTATTTGCAAGAGGGTGAGAAGGCTGCCATCATCTAGGGCATTGGCAGTAAATGTGGCTCTTTTCAGAGAATTTCTGAACATAAATCCCACTTGAACTCAGCACTTAGCACACAGGTAAATGACAACAATTTTATTTCACATTTTTCTACAATGACCACTCCATTTTGTCTTTGCAGTATGATTGGACTGATGCTGGGGACCTGCATAGCTTTCTATGTGGTTATTGGAGACTTGGGATCAAACTTCTTTGCTCGATCACTTGGATTCCAGGTAAACTTGCTTTTTTAATGACCTTATTAATAGCAAATTAGATCAGTGCCTCTTTCATATCTATACATAGGATAACATGGGACGTGGAATCTCAATTTCGCTGCTAGCACTGAAGATGTTACCTAGATGGGTAATGAAATATCTGCAAGAAAACAATCAATCTCAGAGTATTAGAGACTCCACTCAGTCCAAACCTGAGCTACAAATATTCTCTATTATTGATAACATAGGGCATGTTTGAAAGCTTGTCTGAATGGTGTTGTGGTAGTATATATAAGCAGCCTGTCTTTTTCAAAATTAATAGCCAGTATACAAACTGCAGAGCAGCCTACCCCACAAAAACCTGATTTAAAGCAAATAAAGTGCATTTAGTGATAAAGATTCATTGGTAAGGTGTCTGTCTGTCTGTCTCTCTCTGTCTCTCTCTCTCTCTCACACACACACACACTCACCCTTCCTCCCTTCCTTCCCTCCCCCCCTCCCCCCCTCCCTCCCTCCCTCCCTCCTTCCTTCCTTCCTTCCTTCCTTCCTTCCTT